AATTTCTTACCTGCCGATTTTGTCACTAGACTCGATCGCTGCTTTTACGGTTGAATTTAAGATTTTAACAAATATCGTACTGGTCGCTCGATGCGTTTTAGCCTATTCAATTTTCGGTCAAATATCATTATTTGCATAGGTACCTAAATTCAGCGGATTTTGACCGCATTCAAAGTCACTAACGTGTTGTAAAAATCTATTGACGTTGACAGTATTATTGAATCCAAAATTGTATTTTCATACATTGAAAAATAGCAACAATTTTAAGATTACCGTTACCGTGCAAATGTGTAAAGCGTATCGATAAACAAATAGTAACGATTATGTTTTGGACCAACTATATAAAATTTGTAATATGATATTACATGCAAACAGTTAAGAATTTAATATTATATAAAATAATTATATACATAGGATAGTAATATAATTAACTAGCCTTAATAGCTGATTAACGGTTTAATGTTGTATAGTGGAATAATGGTTGTTGAAGTCTAATTTAACTCAATAGAAAATAAATAAATAGCGACGATTATATTTTGAACCGATTTAAATAATATTTTTCATAGTTTTAATGTTGACAGCGATCATATAAAAAAAACATTTCAAATTCAAACTAGTACATTGGAGAGTTTGCGTTTGCGTTCACCATATGGTAGATATTGCAACAAATAAATGCAACGCCACCGACAGTAAATAAAGCACGTTATTCGTCATAAACTATAAAATATAGCCGTTTTAAGTGTAGGTGTTTATACAAGTAGCTAGTATGTATGTATACTTAAATTTCTTAAAAAGTGTGAGGTTATGTTTAATAATTCGTTTTCACTATAAAAATTGTCCGTTGTAAGTCGCAATAACAAACCGAATTAAAATGTTTTTAACAAAATACCGTGTAGCATGTTTGGTTTTCATACTAGCCCACGTGAGGTCATTGTGTACTAGTGAACTAAGTGACAAACGTTCAAAACTAATGGAACAATGGCACCAGGTCCGGTCGTTAAGTACCGGATGTGTAAACGAGCAATTTGATTTGCCCACTTCCTTGGAGAACGTGTCCGACGGTCAGCTGAGGCAAGCGATAATTTGGAAATTCGACCAACTCAAATGCGGTTATCTGTTCAGCGCACACTTTCATTTTTCTACGGTCAGAAAATTACTTCTGGAGGCCGACTACAGTCGTTTTGAACCAAAACTCTACCGGATGACTTCGGTGTATTTCTTAACGGAAACGGTGAACATGGTTCGCTCGTTGTTCTACGTTAAAGACGACGGTATACAAATGGACGAAGTATGGCTGGTTTATCGGTACGCAGCCAAAATGAATTATTATTACTGTTGTTTTCAGAGAGCAATTATAGACAAACAATACATGATTACCAACGCTTTAACGTTCGTATGGGAAAATATAACATGATGCTTACGGACACATTCAGAGTGTGCACGCTCCGGATCGTTTGGCTATACTTGACCGAATTGAATGCGATTGCGAACAAATGTTTGCACCAAGAGAAATCTATCAAATTTTACGTTCAAAGTCCGAGTTCGATCATAACGGATATCGTAAGCGCGTTTTAAATGTAAATCATGACGATTTCTTGTACGAATTAGACGGTTTTTTTTAAATTAGATTCAATTCGTTACAAACAAAGTGTAAATACAATGATGGACGACATAAAATATAATCATAATTCGATTTCGACAACGTTGGGCGTTTTTATTAGACAAACTACCGGATAAACTTGTTATACATTTGAAGTTCGTATAATAATAAAAAGTATTTATTAATAGTAGGTAGATAATGCCAAGGTGTGATTTATTTAAAAAATTATTTGAAATATAAATACCAAATAATTTGTAACAGTAAACAAATATGCATTTCAAATAAATCATTTGTTATTAGTTAATTGTGTAGCTGAAAAGATATTGTTACCCATTAGTTACAATGATGTGTTTGAGAAGATTTGTTTTATTTTTGTGTCTGGACCAATGATATTATATTCTAAGAGAATGATCGGATTTCTTTATGTAGCAGTCTAAAGCCCATAAATCATACCTAAAATATATTTTATTTGGTCAAACATTAAAAAAGTTCACGTCTTGGTTTTCAAAATTGAGAAAAACCCCCAAAAATTGTACATTTTCTTATATTTAAAATTACTAGATGTAGTTTAGATGTAGTTTTAGAACTTACGGGCAGAAAATTAAACTCAAAGTGAATTATAATGGGGCTATGACATATATGGTAAGCTTACTAATCTGTATTCATATTTTTTTTTTATTGAGGAAAAACCAAAACAAAATGTAAAAATAACACTTTGACCCTAATAAATATCTATAGGTTGATATAATATGTGAGTGAATCAACAGTCAATTGGTAGGTATTAAAAAATATATATATATATTTAATGATATTGTTAATTACAATGTATGGGTAACAAGGACGACAAATTATTATAGACAGATGATCAGCCCTAATCATATCCCCCTAATACTCTAAAATAATTGTATGCACATTATGGCTTTTACTATGCTTTTATCGAATTTTGTACTTCTACACATCTATCTACAGGTCCGCATCGAAGCATTTATAACAATTAATACATATTTTCTTGGAGACTACATAAATGTTGACACTTTATCCCTTGGTGAAGTTTTTTAAATAATTTAGATATTTAACCTTGTACTCTATTTAAAATTAAGGTTCCTTTTTAAAATTATTTCTGAATGTAACGGCTTTTGATATAGTTATAGATTTATTATTAATTAATGTTTGGATGTCTTATTAAACACACAATGTTACTACCTTAATGCCTATATTTACCAATCGTTAATATGTTAAAGAAAATATTTGGTATACAATTTATGGATGTTAGTCAAATACCTAGTTTAAGTTAAATTTTATACTTCATAGTCTAAACTTTTTATAGCTATAGTTTCAGAAAAAAAAACTGTCGGATCGAGTTGAGAAATTTATAAGGAATATTTTGCATAGTTAAACAGCTCATCTCCCTCGTAGAATCATACTACTAGTGTCGGCGTTCCATCTATGGACGAATCTTCCTTTTGGCCATCTGTAATTAATACATTTAATTTTATTCTGTGTAGTAATTATGTGTAAACAATAATTTTAATTTATATAGTTTGCCGATGACGACAGGAGCTCAATAACCGAAAGAGCAGGCAGTGTTTACGATTCTATGAGACCATCGTTTATCAATACAACGACAATTTTAGAAAATGTACAGTCTCAGATAAAGCTAAAAGAAGGTAAGAACAGTAGTTAAATTATTTTTTTTTATCAACATGTTATATTAATAAAACTTTTTTAACAGGAGAAGCACAACAGCTACAATAGGAGATGTCCAGAAGAGATCATGAAAGGGATCAGTTGACGACGGAATTAGCTGCTGTAACTGTCAAAGTAGAAGAATAGTCAGCTCACTGGCGGAATCGTTAGACTTGCAAAGGAGGTACGATGCACTGTTACAGTTATACGGTGAAGAACTTGAAGAATGAGACGAGTTGAAATTAGATCTCCAAGATGTAAAAGACATGTATAAAGCACAGGTGAACAAATTTAAGTGATTCAGTTGCTGTTTCATTTCATTTTTTAATTAATCAAAAAATTCTTAATGTTTTTTTATAGATTAATGAACTGCTCAAAAAAGATAAAACCGGGTAATCATTTACATATAACCAATAAAATGATTCATCGTTATGAGCTAATATTATAAAAGGCTATAGTATTTATATTTTGGCTTGATTTGCTAGTTATAAAAAAAAGACAAATTTACTCAAACTACTACTGTTATTATTATATTTACCAACATGTCATTGTTTATTATGTTATCTGTTGGTTATTATTTTATTGTAAAAATATTTTAAGAAATAAAGAAGAAAATATTTTATTTGTTTGTTTAAGCGTACACATTTTTTTAGTGCAATTCACTCCTTTTAATATTCTGTATGTTACAAAACTTATTTATAGTAGTATATTGTATTATAATATATATCTGTGATAATTAAATATGTAATTTTATTTCACTAGTTATTTTGTTTGTGGAATTGGGCTTTGTTGTAATGAAATTGTAAAGTATGACGAATCACAAAAGTTTAAATTTAGTATTTATGTTAAATAAAGCTATGCTACAACTTAACTTAACAGAAAAGGTACATAAGAGATTAATATATACATTTTTATTAAGTCTGTATTGGTTTTACAATTATACTTGAATTTTTGGAAGAATTAATAGAAAAAAATAAAAACAAATGAAGATGTTTTTCTCTTTAAAGTCACCAATACTATTTATATTCGAAAAGAGAATATCCCAATTCTGTACATTACTTGCTGGAGGCTACTTCGAGGTCGATTTTTCCCATTTTTACTGAAATAACAACGGTTTCTGTCGAAGCTCGTCGCTGTAGAAGGCGCTTGTTATAGATTTCTTTCACTTCATTATTTTGTTTAAAAAAATGTCTAATTACTTGCATGAACACTTGATAGAAACAATACAGATAGACCTCATACATTTACTTAACACACATAATAAATAATTAAAAGGAAAACTTTTTTTCAGCCATACAAAATTATGAATAGGACACGGTTAAATATAATTTTTTATATGTTGAATATTAAAAATCCCAAAAACAATTTGTATTAATTTTACAATCACTTATTTTAGTTTTTTTTTCTTTTCGAGGTAGAAAAAGTGGTTTAATTAAATAATACTCAAAATAAAATAAAACTAGTTTTATTATTACATTTGAAAACAATGTAGGTAATACATTTCTTATTGTATTTTCACATCAACGATATTAAAGAATAAACAAAAATCGTTCCATGTATTGCATTTATAAAGAATTTTTTTTTTTTAAGAGTTCATTGATATTTGACAATTGTTAAATTTAGAATAAACGTTAACTTTTTAGTGTCTCTAAAAATTATGTGCTTTAGAGTAATTAATTTATAGAATTTCTTTTCCATAAGTCTTAGAATTGTTTTGAGGGGTAACATTATGTTCCGAACATTATTCTTATGATTGAAAAAATAATTAAGTATAGAATTAATAATAAAAAGTTTTTGGAGTTTAAGGCTGGAAAAGTACAGAGTTTTTTTTAACTGGAAAATCTTTTCCAGCTCTAAACTCCAAATATTTTTTAACTGGAAAAATCAGACAGCAGACTCGGTATTGTTGTTGGGAAACATCGAACGAACTCCATAACTCCCACGTCTGAGTTGTGAACCAATGTTACTCATGTAATAGTAAGCAGTAGCCAGCATAAAGAAAACTGGAAAAAAAAAAGATAGAACTGTTATTTTATAAAAGCTTATATATTATATTCACAATCAATAAAACCTGTACAAATAAGTTTACAAATATCAGATAAAAGTTTGTGTTCTAATAAAAAAAAAATCTTATTATAATTACGACTAAGAATGATACTACGACTAAGTATACATTTTTAACTCAAAGTGAGGTCTACAACTTTTTTCAATGAGACATATTATATAGAAAAGAAATAAAATATGACATTTCTCATATTATCATCACCAATTTTAGATTAAAAATAGAAATCATACTAGAGGTATGTTATATAATTTTTTGTTATCAGTTATGAATTATCATATTTAATTAATAATAATCATTTGAAAAAACCTTTTATAGCTTTACATTGAAGCTAAAGAAATCTTTGTTTTACATGTTATTTCAGTTTTAAAATAAGGTGTTAAGTTATCACTTACAAATGTCATTATTTATTATAAATAACTTACCAAAGAACAAAACTGAACCTATAATCCAAACATCAATGCCTCTGCTATTTTCTTTCCTTTCTTCTTCTTTTTCAGCTAAATAAAAAAATAAATAAATAAAAAATTACAATGCGTTGCATATTTAGAAAGTGGAAAGTAGAAACTCACCTGGACTGTTGAATTCGGCCATCCCTGATAAGGAATTATTAGTCAAGGAAGTTAAGTTGGCCACATTTACAATATTCTTTCCAATAATAGATGGTGTTGTCACGCTCATAGTATCATTATCATATTTTTCTGATGTGTGATTTTGTTTTGTTGTCTTTGATGTTTGATTCACAAGAAGACTCAAAGGAGTGGTCGATGAAAAAGAATTGTTATGAATGGTGTAGTTTAATGAATTTGTCTTGATTGTTGTTGAATTTTGAGAGTTTCTCCGAATCCGGTTTGACAAGTTGTTTTTTTTCTTAATGTTTGAGGGAATCAATGTAGGATGTGGAAATTCCTCCGATTGAGATGAGGGGAAAAAACGTCGAAAAAAATCTGGCCCCATAATATAAGATCTTTTTACTAATTTATTTATTTTGAACATAATTAGTAAATTCTCAATTTGAAAACAAATGCTTTTGTCAGAAGTTTCTAACTGTTCAGATAAGCAGTTAAAAGTATCTAACTGCTTTGATAAGCAAATGCATTCATCATCGATATTAAAATTATTTAATTGGTCATCACCATTTTCTTTTAAACCGAAATATTCACTTTCTTGCCACAACCAAAGCACTGCAATCATAAATTGTTCTTTACATAATAATTTATACAAAACTTTTGGTATTATTAAACTAATTAATATTTATCAATACACATTTAAATTTCTTCAAATTGTCACTACTTCAATAATAATAAGACGCTGGTTATATATATTTGCAAGAGGCAAAATATAAGTAAAATTTGACTTATATTATTCTAGAAGGAATTTCAACTATCGTGATTAATTAAATGGTGAACAACTATTTTTTTTTGTATTATCTACTTTTAAATTTGAATTTTTTAAGAGATACAACTAAAGTTTTATTTAATAACTTTCTTGGAGAATGGTTAGATTTATATGATTTTTTTTGTTTTTAAGTAGATTATATATTACAGACCATCGCGATCACAGATTTTCTATAAAAAAATAGCTATTCTCAGAAAAGATAACTTAAAACCCCTTATTTTATTATTTTTAAAAGGGTAATAGTGTCGAAAATTAAAATTTTTAGAATCCACCATCTTACAAAATCTGATTCCGACTACTCTAGAAGTCATGTTCCCTATTTTTGCAAAGAACATTTGAAATCAAGACATCTAATTAAAGAGATTTTTTTTTGATAAACTGAGACTGCAAGATATAAAAAAACTAAACAAAAACTATTTTAGTTTTGTTTATACAAATATATATATATATTTTTACTACTATATATTGTCCATCAAATGGAAAATTAAAGAGTCTTTTTTATATTAAAAGCAATTTGTCTTATTGTAACACCAAGGTGGGTTGATATGGCCGACGATTTAAATTTTTAACCAAATCAAAAACACTTAAAAAAATTAATTAACCTAATAAATAATATTATTTACATTAAATAGTGTAGGTATTAAAACTAAAAAATTCTCAGCAAAGCTTGGGGTTGTATACTCCTGTAGCTTTAGTACCTATGTTCTTTAAAGGGATTAAGGTTTTTATAAATATTTTATTTCTTTAAGGGACATAAAGAACAATAATACATAAACAAACCCAAAACTTAAAACCCAAATTTTTTTAATTGGTAAATTAACAATAGACAATTATTCTATAGCTAGACATACCCTAATACTCTCTATACTTATACTGTTTACAGCTGTGACTTTTATATTATTGAAATGTTTAATTCTAAAAAGAACGGAAATTATGAGAATATGAAACTATAATTTATTGTAAGTATTTTAGAAATTTCAATAAAATAAAGTTAACATATACTATCAAGGTAGCTTGTTATAAAATATATATTTGAATAGTTAATTCTACTACAGTTATTAAGATGTATTCGTAGAGAAAAAACGGTAGGATATTATAAACACATACTATAAGATGCAAAGCTATAAGTTTGGTTACCCGGGCCCATTTACAAATAAAACTGAAATGTTATCTAAAGCAAAATGATACCTAACAAATTTTACTTAAGAGGGCGTCGCACCGGTGATTTTCAGTGGTAAAAACATGTTTACGCCAACTGAAACTAACTCGTTTAATTTTGGTTTTAGAGTAAAAGCACCCATAATAAAATTGAAAGAGAACAATATTCCAGAGGGCAAGACGGTGCGTTTTTAAAAAAAAAAAATTTTTTGAAAAGTTACAGTCATTTATAAATGTTAAAATAATGTTAAATAAATGTTATTTCTAAACTATGTATAACTACGTTATACTTGGAATAATGAAAAAAAAGGCACCGTCTTGCCCTCCGGAATATTGTTCTCTTTTAATTTTATAATGAGTGCATTTACTCTAAAACCAAAATTAAGCGAGTTATTTTCAGTCTGCTTAAACGTGTAAAGATGAAAAAATATTTTTAAATCGCTTTCGAGGATGCTGCGATTGCCCAAACAATAAATCAACCACCAAAATAGAGTCCTAGTTATTGAACTAATAATTACACATCACAGTTTAACCTTTAAATTAAGATATTGTAAAAAATTGCCCAAACTTTACTCCTTAAAAATGGGCGGTGCGATGCCATGTTAAGAAACGATTCCGTTGTGTTTTGTAAGTAATGATACGGTCATGACAAACGTCACTAGTCGCAGTTCGATTAGCGATGTTAAAGAAAAAACCAACTTTAACGTACAATTTTACAAAAAGAAAGTTAGCGGGGACAAAACGAATTTCTATACTTACCAAATAACAAAACTGCAGTAGGAAAAATCATTTTCGATGAACCGTTGTAAGAAAAATGTGTGCGACAATGGCCGATGGCGTCGAAAGAAATGACAAATGAACGGCGTTGCTACTTGCTAGGCAGAACAATTGTAGCCGTAAAATAATGTCAACTGGAAAAGAAAAAACAAGCGACATCAACATCCATCGATGAGTTTAATCTCCTGGAAAAAAAATTTTGGTGGCAATTTTAAAATATCTTATCAGTCATAATGGCGACTATATTATTATCGTGAAAATATAGATATTAAACAAGTTTTTCGGGCCATTTAAATTGTTTAAAAACAAACAATTTAACCCAAAATAAAAATACACTTTTCAAGCCGTTCTCTGTGATAATTAAAATTATTATTATTATTTTTTGTGTTTGTATAAATTATGTGATTTTTTTTCTTTAGACCTAAATAAATGCGAAAAAAAATATTTTATTAAGACTGCCTACCTAATGGTAGTCTTATAAGTTATACTTAAGTCTGAAGATTCCCTCTTTTCTATTTTTCTTTAAAATAACTTGTTGCAATTTCTTATATAATATGTATTATTATTGTTATAGGAATAATGTTTGTTATTTCGCTTTTTACAAAATCAAATCGGAAATTATTATAAAATATCTAATTGATTGCACAAAATGAGTTATCTCCACTTCGGACTACATACCATGTAGTACATAGGTCCATCATAATTCATATTCCAGTAAATTGGGGCACACTTTTTGGCAGATATCACCCAAGTTAAACACGGTATATTCCTGAACTATGGTAAGAAACTTATTCTCAGATATTAAAAAAAACAATGTTAGTAACAAGGATATAAGTTAATTGGTAGCAAAATTTAGACTCCTTAGAAATGCATTCATTATATTAATAAAAATATGTACATAAAAAATACTACAACATTATTATTAGTTTTAAGTATTTAAGTAAATACTTCATAAATTATATCGCGTACGACTAGTTTTGACAGATTTCAATTTTTTTTCTTACTACTTTGGCTAAAAAGGCGATTTTTTATTTAGTTATTAGAAATGTAGTTAAAAGTAGATTTATTATAAAAACAATAAAAAGATTAGTATATAAAAACTTATACCTAATACAATTTTATAAACAAAAATTAAAACCTACTTTTAGTCCCCATACATATAATTTAATAACTTTTTTTTTTAATCTGTTCTATAGTAATCTAAAAAAGTGACAAAATGTATTCTTTCCGTTTCACTTAAATAGTTTTTGATTCTTTTCATTCATAAACTCAGATGGGACAACAACTATTTTAATGTGATAAATTGATTAAAATAAATCAATAAATCTTTAAAAAAATAACTGCGAGATTTGTAGATACCAAGTATATTTTTCAACAGAAAATTAATGTTATTATAGTATATGTTTTGTCTTAAAATTTCGAAAGCATTTTTCACAATTATTAACTATTATATTTTTCGAATTTAATCCAATAATTTATAATATATTTACTTTTTCTAATGATTTTCGTAGTTTAGATAATATATGTTTATAAGTTACAACGAAAATCAACATACATATATTTTATACATATTTTATTAGCTTGTTATATTTTACTTTCAAAGTGTTATTTTTTTATGCAATCAGAATTAACGGCTAGGACTGAAATACTTTGAATGATATCAGTAAAATTCTCATTTATTGACTGTTTTATTTTCAGAAAAACTTCGACAAAATTTAATTTTTTTATTCCACTAGTCTACTTGTTTTTTTAATTTGAAAGTAATAGGTGAAATCAGAAGTCATTTACCATAATTATTTTCTGAGTTACGAAGTTACAATCATTTTTTGAAAACGATTTTTTATACCTACTCTGTTTTATAAATGTTAATCAAGGTTTTAGTCAGCTAATTCTAGCTTTTTTTTTACACATACAAACATAATATAAAACAAGTCTAAACAGCACGTGTGCCATTTAAGAAACCAAAACTACTTTTAAAGTTTAAAAACAAAAATTAGTGATCAAAATATATAACTACACTGTTCGGTAGTTATAATTTCGAACATATTTTTTGGATACCTATACTTAAAATTACGACGGCCTATTAGATGTAGGTAGTCTTATAACTTACGGGCAGAAAATTAAACTCAAAGTAAATTATAATTGGGCTATGACATATATGGTAAGCTTACTAATCTGTATTCAAGTTTTTTTTTATTGAGGAAAAACCAAAACAAAATGTAAAAATAACACTTTGACCCTAGTAAATATCTATAGGTTGATATAATATGTGAGTGAATCAACAGTCAATTGGTAAGTATTAAAAAAAAATATAGAAATATATTTAATGATATTGTTAATTACAATGATGGGTTACAACGACGACAAATTATTATAGACAGATGATCAGCCCTAATCGTATCCTCCTAATACTCTAATATAATTTTATGCACATTATAGCTTTTACTTGCTTTTATTGAATTTTGTACTTCTACACATCTACCTACAACAGGTCGGCATCGAAGCATTTATAATAATTAATAATATTTTCTTGGAGACTACATAAATGTTGACACATTATCCCTTGGTGAAGTTTTTTAAATAATTTAGATATTTAACCTTGTACTCTATTTAAAATTAAGGTTCCTTTTTTAAATTATTTCTGAATGTAACGGCTTTTGATATAGTTATAGATTTATTATTAATTAACGTTTGGATGTCTTATTAAACACACAATGTTACTACCTTAATGCCTTTATTTACCAACCGTTAATATGTTAAAGAAAATATTTGGTATACAATTTATGGATGTTAGTCAAATACCTAGTTTAAGTTAAATTTTATACTTCATAGTCTAAACTTTTTATAGCTATAATTTCAGAAAAAAAAACGGTCGGATCGAGTTGAAATTTATAAGGAATATTTTGTATAGTAAAACATCTCATCTCCCTTGTAGAATCCATAAGACGATTATTTTATGTTTCGAAAAATAAATAGTTTGATATCCTTTAAATCGATTATTTTAAATAATCAATTTTACTGAAACAGTAAACGAGAGAATAAAATCTTATTTCAAACAATAAATCACCGTCTAACATAAATCACCGCAAACAACTATTAGTTGTTGAAACAAAATTGTTTACTATTTTAGAGTTTGACACAATTTATATCTAACTGTTTATATAATATCTATTTACCTATTCAAGTGTGATTTTACTTTTTCCTTATTTTCATAGTGTTCCTCACTAGTGTCGTTCAGGCAAACACATTTCACAACGATTTCTCGTGTAACAACTGTACAAGACATACTCTTGCCTTTTTATTGACACATAACCATTGTTATTCTCCCATAAGATACGAAAATGTATGATTTAAACAGAATATTATATTATATTGTGAATTGTGATCCGAGTAAAAACTGGAAAACTTATAAGGAAATTGTGGTCTGAATTGTTTTTATATAATACACACGTGTAAAAAATGTGTTTTTATTATACACACACAATTTAGGTTGTATTTAAACTATAGTCGTCCAAAACAAAATATTTTCTTCGCTTACACAATCTATAGGAACACAACACCTAATGAAATATTTACCAATTTTTTTCTAGGTTATCTACTACGAATGATAGGAAATGAATACATTTTTTTAAATACTAGTGCTTTTTAAATATTTTCAAAGCGTGGTTTTAAAATGTCGTGGTTTTTAATACGCTGCGCGGTAATTGGTTGTGTCTTAATCAACGCGGTCCAAATTTCAGGCGATGACACAACTGCGCCAAGTCCACAATACGGTCTGGAATCACTTACGAACAATTTCATCGATGCCTTACCACCCGGGTCTTTAGAAAAAGGCCTTAATATTGGATGCAATTTATTGTACCACGCGACTTTACACGTCCATTTATGTAAATTCCTTTGGACCAACAAGCGCGATGAGATGGTGGAGTATACTAGATCGGCAGACTTTCACAACTGGGCTAAAAAAATGTTGGTGACTATGGCTGTGTATTTGTCCAAAACTAGATCAATGATGGGCGCCATGTGGGTGTTTTTCTTTTGCACATATTATGTAGAAAAAGAAATGTGGTTTTACGAAAAATCATATCCAGCCCGATACGAGAATTTCCAGGATGAAACTTTTGAGATATTGCGAAAGAGGTTGCAATCGGATTGTTCCGTAATGGTAACTATAGACGGACAGCGCCGTCAATACGAATCGTACATTAATTACATAACTAGAGAAAATGATCCTCGTATGTTGTTATTAAATGTTAACGATTCCAACGCGTATTTAGAACAGGATTTAATAAAAAATCATACGGCAATAATGGTGAAATCCCTGAGTGTCGATAAACTGTACTTAAACAACGTGATACATAATAACGATGTCATGAACACTTTGATCAGAACATTTGGGTTGATTCCTAAGTACCACAGGTTAGAATTATATTTACATGATAAGTTCACATGGGTTGCATTTAGAATTATACCATTAGAAGAACATGTCAAAGCGTTGCAGGACGTTCACCATCATTTCATTTCAACGTTGAAAATAATGATGCTGAGGTTGTGTATAAAACACTTAACGCATGTTCAAAGGATGATGCGCAGTCTAAACAAAATGAAATGCAGATATAACTTAATGTTTTACGAACAATTCAAGAAGTTCACACAATTGTTAACTTTAAAGAGCGACGATGACGTAAAACTGTTCAGCGAGCTGTTAAATTGCAAAACAAACGGTGATTTTAAAAATGCATACACTAATGGAATGGTTTTGCTGAAAAAAATGTGTCATGCCTTCAATGTCGAAACAGAGATGTCGAAATGTTGTACGAAAAAAAGTATAACTGTAATGGAATTGCCTAGTAGCCAACTTCAAATCATAGATGAAAAAATGGGCCTCAATATGAGACTAGAAAGTACATCATATTATGGTGTCGAAAATACCATTTTGTATGCCATATATTTTAATAGTACCCTTAAGAAAATTTTGTTTGGAATTGAATTCTATTATATTCATTTATTTATGGACACCTTTTCTCTATGAAAACATTCATGTACCTAGTTAAAAAGAAAAAGCTAGATCAATCTGTACTTACGTTTTTGATCGACGCAAAAAATTAAAAATAATAATATTGATTTAAAAATAACGTTTATAATAGTTAATACAAGTTTCTGTTACTTTATCATAATAGACAAATCTAATGTTTAAATACCAATAATACAATAATTGTCAATATCGACTTTACCTTTTTCATTATGTGTCTGGTTTTTTTTTTAATTCATCAAATAAAATACAAATTTAAAAAAAAAATGTAGACCCGATTTTTTTTTCGTTTTATAAGTTATGAATACATATGAGTTGTACTAAAAAGTCAATTATTTTCAATACACTCAAATCATATATGGAATAACTAGAACAAAAATTAACCAACTATTTTCTTATTTCATTTTTCTAATAAATAATTTAATATTAATATAACTATATTTGCACACCGAAGTTAAACATTTTAATTAGGTGTACATGTATGAAATTACACGCGAAAGTTGTAAATTTTCTATAAGTAGTAACTTACTAATTTGTACAAGTTATAAAATAACTTTTAACGTTCTTAAATTGTATTTATTTGTTACACTCATTTTCCATCATATAGTTATTATACATTTTCTATTATAACTTTATTGTATTATTAACTTCGTTACATATACAAACGGAAGATGTACGTGAAGCTGACCGCTAGATCTAACTGTGAAATAATAATAAAATTGACTATGCAAAAGTTACTCTGTACAACACTCAATCGTTGAATGGTATATGGTGAATGATAATTATTTCTGTAATATCTCAGTGATTTAAGCATGTTAGGAAAAAAACAAAATATTGATTTAAACGTTATTTTTGTTATCTTACCCTAAAATTGATGATTGATTTATAGACATTAGTTAGATCCTATGTCGTACGTGGACCAGATTACCAGAATCTTCAGACTTGTCCAAAACTTGTGTGAAAATTGCCTCAGCGCACATATAGGCGCCTACCGCAAGGTGAATTTTCTACAACTACGTTTCTATTAAAATCGGGTTTTCAATAGTTACCTATAAGTACAATGGATTTAAAGTAATAGTTATTATAATGAATAAAAGTCTTGATCAAGAATAATAATCACTTTCCTTCGGTTTATTGTTTTTCATTCATATTTTTTTCATGACATGCTGAAACAATTAACAGTTTATTATTGTATTATTTACGCAAAACGTAATAATATAATAGCGAAACACTTATTATTAAATGTCCGGTGCATAATTGGCAATAATTCAAGTTTTTTTTAGACCGACCCAGTTAAGGTTTAATGTGTATGCCAATAAAATCCATATTTTTTGGTAGGTAATACAAACAATTTAGTGGGCTTAAAAAAAATGTACAGTTTTTTTTTTTTGGTCTGTGTTTTTGACAATATTGGCCTTGGCTTTTTGTATTATTAAAACAAAATTCACATGTTATTCAGCTCATGTACAGTTTCTATTAGTGGACATGGAAAAAGTACAATGAGTAATTACTTGTAACTTAAACTTATAGGAAGTGCTACCTTATAACGACCAGCTACAAATGTTCCAGAGTTTTCTGTGATTTTTAAAAATCGACATAGCAATATGTTATGAACTAAAAAAAAAAACGAAAATAATAAATATGAAGTTTATTGAATAGAATATCAAAAAAAACATATATAAATAAAAACGTAGCGCAGACATTCACAAATTTTTCACATTTTTACTAATAGCGAGAAGAACGTTAAAGCTAGACAAACGCTGTAACTGGTTGACACGTAATGTATATATCTTTAAGTCTTCGTCACTTATAACTAGTAAATTTCGAAAAAAATGTCTTTATATAATTAAATATTATTACTTATTGGATAATAAAATACTCGAAATATACAATATTTATATAATTAGTTACACTCAACCATATTAATACAATAAAAAATGTCGAACACAAACAGTATCAGTACGCTTAACAGGTACATTTAGCGCCGTTTGTATTGGCATTAATTCAGGCACACCACTTGGGGAAGGGGGCAAGGTGTCCGGCATTGCCTAATATACCTTGTTGGGTCGCTAATGGTTCAATTACAAAGTTGTATATTATACTAATTTTTTTATAAATTAGGTAAAAAAAAAAAAAAACACAAAATAGGTAAAAATGGATCAACGGTGAGAGAAAATAGCACCTATGGAGCTAAAAATGAACCCCAAATGGTGCCAATGCGTTAATGTTTACATAAATAGTTAAATCAAAACGAATCGAATAAATAACCACACGGGCGACGACTAAATTCTAAACAACAATTAAAATTCTATTTCAACTCTAATAGCTATAAACAATCACAAAACAAACTTGGTAAAAAAAACATTCAGTCATTATAGAATGACTAAATTAGAGGCCGGAAATAAATAAACTTATTAAGCTCTAACACATGAAAACAATGAATCCAATAATAATCTGATAACATTTAATGAAAATTTACAGGGCCAAATAATGTGTACCTATTTAGTATCTATTTATGCTACCTATTAAAAAATCTTGTAATATTTAATTATTTTTAAGCTAATAACTTTTAACTAATTAACTGATAAGCTAATAACAGCTAACTAAAGTAATTAATTAGTACACAAAACGAATACACTTAATCGGAATCTACTCCAGTTTAAAGGCCAATATTGGTATTCTGTGAGTACCAAGTTAGATAACAAAAAACAAAACAAAAGTCCTTTGGAAACGTATAAACATAGCTACTACGCTATTTAACAATATTATGTACATAATAAATACAGTGATTGCATTTCATACACTGACTATTATCACACACACACACTACTATAATATATGTTTTATAATTGTATACTATATTTTATATCGGATAAGTAGATAAGCGTTGTAGGTTTTGGTGTATTTCAGTTGGACGTTAGTTGTTAACGTGTCACGCGCAAGGTGGACACGACGGTCTCCTGGCCGGCAAAACAAACTAAATTTACTTGACGTTATATTATTTGATTGTACGACAATCAAAGGGAACCGAAAATATCACAACGACAATACAATAGTTATGTTATGGTATATTATAATGACGACAGAGACTTGAAGTAGTTGTCTCATACTCCCTTTGATCAAAAGGCGCCGACCAGGAGTAAGACGTCTTCCCATTATCATTATCCCTTGACTGCTTTGGTGCTCTGCTCTTCCAACAGCACCACGGGGTAATCATTTCTTATGCAGGGGGTATCCAATCGGACGTCACCCTAAAACACAATCAGACATTTTCAGACAGTTATTATAGAATAGGTATTTACACATATGTATCTCCTTTGACTATGCAATTAAAGTCGGTGAAGATAAATAGTCAACTAAAAAATAATACCAATGTGGATTGGTAATTAACGTTGAGACTTGAGACGTCATTCTAACAGACTTTGAACTAGGACCAATGAATGTTACTTAAAATACTATAAATATAATGCTAATGCAACTAGAATAATATATAATATATAGTTTTCAATTAAAATTAATGGCTATCTGTTTCTTTTCACACAAGCTTATTTACATTTTTTGAAATTTTGGGAAAATAAGAAAAAAATGTTTAAAATTGTCAAAGAAATTATAGATGTAACATGACAAATTTTAGTTTTAAATGCTTTGTTTTTTATGTAATTTTTCTAACAGTGTTAGAAATTTTTTATTTTTAAGCGAAGCTATTGCTTTTACAATGATGGGGTTTTTTTTTCTATGTCGACCCACAATTTCTTTTAAGCCTCTGAACCGTTCTTCATATAGCAAGTCTATATACTCCTGTCACTTTAAGAAGATACACCAATACCTCGTTTGTCGCCATGCAGGTCATATCACAGTAGGCGGTGCCAAACTATGACGATGTTGCTGGATGGAAACCAGTCGCCGCCGACACGACAAGGTCTTTTCTTAAAGTGACTGGATTATAGATAAGAAATTTCACCTGATACATTATTGGTAAGAATTATATTACATCATTTACAGAGTTGACCACTCCTTTTTTTTTCAAAACTATAATATAAACTATAATTTTTCGGTAAGCACCAAACATTTTCTGGGCTTAAAGAAAAAAAACCCAGTGTTTTTTTTTTTTGCTAACACTTAATGTTATATAAAACTCAAGAAGTTATTTTTAATCTCAAAATTAAAAATAATTTATTGTTATTTTGTTTTAATGATTTACATTAGTTTACCTGAGGTTTCAAACAGTTTTTACTAATTTTCTTGAGAGTGACTTTTGTGCCCACTTTAGCTTCAACATAAAACTCGTGCGCCATGTCACCGTCTTCATCTATGTACATGGATCTAGAGAAAACAAAATAGGAAATTCTAAAAAAATGTACGGGGCAAAAAACATATTACAATAAAATACACAGTTACCCTCTTCTGTAATGGACAAATGGGCTAACGGAATTATTGGTGAACTCTTGCTGATGCTGTTGTCTTTGTTTTTGTTGCTCATAATACTGATATTGTTGCTGCTGCTGCTGGAGGTTTTCATTAAAGGTTAGATCGCCAAATTCGTCGTCGGTTGGTAGGCTTTGTCCACTAGCTGAGTGACTCGAAAAACTCTTAAACAGCTTGGACGCTCTTCCCCCCATGATTTTCCTGCGTTGCTTAACTGTGAATTACACAATTTATAAAACTAAAGCTTAAACAGTAATAACAGACATGTTCAAGGGTAGGTAGGATTTTGTTTATAGTTTACAACGAAACGATTTAGAGGTCAAAATACACACCGATAAGGTACTGAGTAAATACGCAGTATTTTTGACATATTGCTAATGGCGTTGACCAAATTTTGTAATACTTGATAAAACAAAATGACAACAAGCAATAGCTTTGTCATTTCTAATATCGTAAGCCAGACAAAATTTTTAAATTTAAAGATTAAAAATATGTCTTGTAAAACAGCTATAGCTTTTTCCAAGTTCTGTACAAGTTTATGATTTTATATATAAATTGCTCCTTAGTGCAGCAATAAACATTTTAAAAAAATATTGTAAAAGAGTTTTAAAGATTTTTAACGAGTAAAAATGTAATAATATCTCAATATAATTATTATTATTAAAAATAATAATAATAAAAAAATAGTGTGATCTGGTATTCTCTCATCAGACATATGTCAAGAAACCAAATTTTTATCTATGGTTATGAATCCGTGATACTTGTAAAATTATATTATGAATATTGTTTCCCTAAAAAAAAATTGTACTCCTTTATTGTACAAAACAGTGTTGTTATTTTTATATAAATTATATTTTACAACTATAGGTAATTTGATATTAAAAAAAACAGATTAGGTTAGGGATTTTCATATTTTATCTTATATGAAAAAAAAAACAAATTATATTGTAAGCACCATTTTGTACAGCTTATATTAATTATCAAAATTTAAAGCTGTTTGTTTGAAAAAAACTAACCTTAGTAGGTATCATAAAATTATAGCCGTGAATAGTCAATTACTTTTTAATATTGTCAATAAGTAATAACTACTATAGTTGATAACAATATTAATATACAATTAATAATTAATTTAAAAAAAAAATACATAGTTTTTTTAAGTAGTTTGGCTATTAAGACACAAGAAACTACTATTCCAATTTAAAACTATCAATACCTATCAGCAAAACTTAAAACCAAAACTAGATTTCTCGTACTGATAAAAGTTTAGCTTAGTACAAATTTATTAAGTAGCTTTCTTGTTTGCCACTGATGTATTTCGAAACAAATTAGTTATCAAGTCCTATATTTTCTAAAATTTACAGCATATAATGTTTGTGTAAATTAATATATATACAAGGTAAATTGTGTCTAAGTAATTTATTTAGGGTTTTTCTTAACTATAATGTTATTTATTTATTTCATACTTTAGATTTTATTTTGTATGACTGACAGATATAAACCGCCCATTAGCTCGCAAAGTTATATTATACGGTTTTTATTATAGTTAATTATTGAGTTTTCAGTTAAATAAATACACTGATTACGTTAAATGGTTATTTTTTGTTCGGCACACTCAATCAAGGATACAACATTATGTACACATTTTCTATTATACTAATATAATTATATATTTATCAAATAACATACTTAATTATAGAAACAAAATAACTATCAAATTTTTTTTTTATAGTTCTCGACTTGCTTAAGTCGGTTTCGACAACTCTTGCTCTACGAGAAACAAGAGTTGTTATCCTGGGGAAATGGGTGTGGTTCGGTGGTTTCCTGTTACCTTCCGCACCAGTCAGGTGGCCATTTCTCTCTCTAGACGGTTGCCCGACGAGCTTGAGAAACGGCCAGACTATCAAATAATTATAATAATAATTATATATTGTCAACAATTTATGATAATATTATACCAAAATGTATCAGAGAAACAAGAGCGAACGCCTCCTGATTCTTTTTTGTAAGTTACTTAAAATGTCAATTATAAGTAAAATGTTAAAACAAGACCACAATAAATTATTTATTGAATTTAGTTATTTATTCTTCAAATACTTTTTGTAGTATATTGTATCTAGACAATTTACAAGTTTAGTAATTTACTAAATTCTAGAATTAGTATTTAAAGTGTTTCTTACAGAAAATCAAATGATAAAGCAATTTAATTTAAAAACATGAAATATCTTGTTATTTCTATTTAATTGGAGACTGACGGTTAATATGTTAATCTTATCAATGGTTATTAGTTAATAATAATATTTTAAGAACATAAAATCTGTTACATAACTCTATAATAGAAAATGGCCATTAGTCGTTCAATATGCAAACATTATAATATTACGTACTATGTATGCCATTTCGTTAAGCTGAATTATGATTTTAAGATACTTATTAACTGTAATGCGATACATTCAAAATAAATAAATAATCACGTCATTTTGGAGAGTATATAATTTGTTAGCTAGGTGGGCGAGGCAACAATTATTTAATTGATAATGTAATGTTAGATTTATATTTGTTTAAAATAAAACCAAATTACTAGTACATAAACACCAACGGTAATAAAATTATAATCGTGGGCGTCCTAGAAATGGGTTAAAATAAACACAAAAGAATTAATTAAATACTTACATTCACAGAATTGAAACCCTTATAGTTGCTTGAACATTGTCACCGTAAAATATGGTGATAATATCTATTTTGAAATAATGTGTAGAAAGTAGAAGTATTGTATTCGACAACTTCTTTTTGAAGAGTTAAGTTAATACACCAATGTACAAAACCACAATACAGACGGCGAATAGAATACCTGTAATTTAATGAATAGTTTTTTTAAACGAAAACAAATGTAGTAATAACAATTATAGCTGAGAAATATGAAATATTAATGAAATAAAAAGAAATATGTTTATTTAAAAAGAATGCATTTTTACTTTAGGTAGGTAGAATATAAACTAGCGATTGACGATTATCCAAATTATTGATCAGTTCCGAGGTAAAACTAGTGAGAACAAGACCGACAATTGATAATCAGCGATTGTCGTTATCACTCGGAATTGTGTTATCACATAAAATTTTAATAACTTAGGTATACTTGATTACCAAATATCCAAATAAAATATAAATTCATGAAAATTGTTTTTTTCCAATTCAAAAGCCGGTAATATTTGTTGCACATATTTTATCTTGCAATGAACATAAAATTGTTCCAAACAATTTGTGGAACAAAAAGATATTGGGACAAAAAAACATTAGACATACATACGATTTATGGAACAGATGTCTTGTGGAACTAACGTTTTATATCAAAACAGTATTGTGGAATAACTTACAACGGCCGTTCGTGGAAGTTAAAGGTAAAAAGAAATAATTGACACAAAGTATCTTTGGACCAAGAATAAAATATAAGTCAGGTAAAGACTAAATTATTCCAATAATGTTCGTTCTAACAAATATAACGTCCAACATAAATTATTAAAAACAACTTAAAATTGTTTTCAGTGTTTTCTGATTTATATAAATGAGTAAAATGTTTTCTTACAAATAAGGTATAATCGTTAGCATAATATATTACGTATTATGTACTTAAGAGGACGCCGCTCAGTTCATTTATTAAGGAGTAGGGTATAGGCAATTTTTTTACAAAATCTTAACTTAGCGGAACGGAAAGCACTATTTATTAAAGGACAAAGGATAGGCAATATTTGACAAAAATTGATCTAATAGCCACTTTTAATATGCTGACTAATTTTTAGGTGAAAAAATATTAAGTTTTTTTAGTTATAATACTAGTTATAAAGTGATATCACTTTTAAATAAACGCTTCGATGCGAATCTGTGGATAGTATGTTCAAACCAGTTATAGCGGTTTAGAAGATATCGTGGGACCAGCAATAATGTACTTAAAATTTAATATTTAGGCTTATGCAGGGTGAATACGATAAGGGTTAATCGTCTGTTAATAAAAATGTATTGCCATAGTTACTCATGTATCGTAATTAACAATATAATGAAAATATTTTCATTACCTGTTGACTGTTGATTCACACACACATAGCAACCTAGAAACTGACTACGACCAAAGTATAAATTTACCCTATTTTTGGGGTTTTTCCTTAAAAAAAAAAAAATTGACTACAGATTTTTGAGAAAATTGTATATGTTATAGTTCCATTTTAGATCTACCTTCGGTCTAATTTTCAGATCTAAATCTTCAAAACTTTGCTTGAAAAGGTGAAATAAAGAAAACAATTCTATCCCTTCTAAGGAAAAGGGTTTATGATATTTTTTTGGTTTGTTAATGTTTATCGGTAGTACTATGTTTGAAGAACAATTCATATACATTTGGAACATTTTCGACTATTTTTAAAAAAGCCATAGAGCATCGTAATTTTAAGTTGAAAAGTTTGTAAATTTTTTGGGTGTTTTTCTTGACTTTGATGGGGAAGGGGTGACTTTTTTTTTATTTTTTGCCCCGAAAAATTACCTTCCAGGTATGATTTCTGATCTATAGAGTTGCTACACGAAGAAATCGGTTCAGCGGTTTACAAGATATCGTGGGTCCAGACACAAAAATAAAAATAAAAACACATCATTGTAAAAATAATACCTTCTCAGCTCCGCATCGAAGCTAAAAAAAAATCTAAATGCTTATAAAATGTTGTTGAAAACAAAAATAAAAAATCGTCCTTTTACTTTTTAGTCTCCATAGAAAAGATGTTAAACTATGTAACAAAAAAAAAAAAAAATTGAAATCGGTCAGCTAGACACTTCAGAAAATGACTTCGTTTTAATTTTTATTTGTAAAAAAAAATTGACGCTTTCCGTTCCTCTTAAAGTCATTAGTCATCACAAAAATAAAATAATTCAAAATGCTTTGTAGGGTTTACAGTTGTAAACATTACAACATATTTGTGTTTTTCTTATCTCCCAAGAACATACATAGGTGATAGGAGAAGTAAATGGATAAAAATAATCAAGTATGTGGTATGGCTACTGAATAAGGTTTTGTCGAAAATATAAATTATACATATTAATATTACTATACGTATTAAGTGGACAGATATTCTAGGACCGGGAGCTTTTGTTTGTTCTTGTCATTTTAAGGATGCAAATATTCATAATGGATTAACTTTATTAGCTAATTTGTCTAAATGATTTGTCTAATAATTTCCCATCTCCTATAAAGAGTAATCTTTTCTCCTGTTACAACATCTAGTACACAAGTTTCTCAAAATAAAGTACATTAAATAAATAGGAGTAATTTCTTATACATTTTAAGAGCACATTCTGAAATAAGCGATTCCAAAAGTAATTGAGTCAATTGAAACAAACAAATTTGTAGTAATAGCATCAACATAAGACATAGAATTTTACGGTAAATTGTAGTTTAACAATTTTTTATGCTCTTTCTCTGGTGTTCATTCGATTCAGTTTTTTATTACGAATTCAGGTATTTCCAAAATCACGGCGTTGAAAAAAAATGGACATAGCACACCTCATCGCCCATTTTTAAGGAGTAAAGTGTAGGCAATTTTTTACAAAATCTTAACTTGAAGGTTAAACTGTGATGTGTAATTATCAGTTCAGTAGTAAAAAATCATTTTTCGGACTATCACAGCATCCTTGGCAGCGATTTAAAAAAATAAATGTCTGTTGAGTTCAGTTTTACGTGGATTCATTTTTCTCAGGCTTCATATATAAAGTTAAGGAAAGAAATTCATACATATTATATATGACACAATTATCTGTGCTCCAGCATCCGTATTTTTTCGATATACCTAATACAACCGACGCTATAATATAATTTTTAAAAAAGTCCTTTTTGAATTAATTAATTATCCATTAACTGGTTGAAATATTAAAAACGGCCACGGTGGAGCACAGACAATGTTGTTGTCTATATTATGTGAAAACTTGGTTTTTCGCAAGGCGAGTTTTTTGAAGAAAATAACGTGTGTGTGACATCCTCTTAACATGTAAGCCATGTAGCCTATGGCTCCATGTACCCTAAAACATTATAAATCTAATCATCCGTTAATTGTACACAATATGAGTTTAACACTTATGGAAATTCTAATAATGTATTATTATTTAGCCATTTTATTTTGCTGTGTTGACAACACAACACTAGTAAATAACTAGTGAAATAGTATTCGTTATGGATTAAATGCAAAGATTGCTCATTAAATAATACCATTGAGTACTCAATGATAATACTAATAATTAACTCACGGTATCTGTTGTTCTCTTGTAACAAATAGTTTATTACAAGTTATAATATTTAGTTTATTATTTACAACATCAAATAAAAATAAAATTTGTCAAAAGAATAATACAAAGGCACAAAAATACAACATAAAAACAACGTGCTATAGGGGTCTGGCTTAAATGTTGTTTACTGACTTGTTTGGATCTCGATCAGCCATCATGCCGACCCGCCGCCGCCAGTACCACCAACTGCATACTCTTAAAGTTCTAATAAGAGTACCTAACCTCATCTATATTTATAATTATATACTATTATATTAGTTGTCGAAGTTATCGAACATTATTATAGTTATTTTTTTGTATGTGATTGGAATTTTCCTATATAATCTTTGTAATCGCCGCGTCGCCCGTGATCCATACGCTGATAATAATATTGACAGTTTTTTTAGTTCGGCTAAGTTTTGTCTGGGAACAACTGACGAATAACGCATCGAATTCCGAGGCACTTAGTATCAGCAGATAGGATGTGACTCAGCAATTTATATATATATTCAGAATTTCAATGGAATTCCGTTGTCAGTGTTTCTCCGCCGAATAAAATTATATAGCCTGAATTATTTTAAATAAAACGCCAGAATTCACTGAATTATTCTAACTGAATAATAATAATTATTATTTAAACCGTCAAGGGAAAACCAGTCGAGGAAAAGATAAAGGAAGCGCGGACTCGAGTTCAAGTACTTCTATTAATAGTACTTCTAAGCGTCATCTTAAGATCTGTTTAAAAGAATTATATTATGTTTTGTATTTTGATTTTCACAAAGTATTATTTAGTAAATATGCTTGAATTTTGTTTCACAGCACTATTATCTTTTTTTGTTTTTACACCCCTCCCAACATATTTTTTTGGGTCCTACTATCAAAAAAGTTGAGGGGGGGGGGGGTAAAAAAAAATGGTGAAAAATTGAGATCACGTTTGTAAAAAAAATCCAAATATTAATTAAACCTTAATATTAATTAATTATAAATTGACTGGTTCATGATAAAAATATCACCCTGTAAATAAATGAATACAAATCTTTCAAATTTAAATTATGTGGAAAAAAACCATTTGGCGGGAAAATCCTTATAATACAATATTAATATCATAATAAAAATACAAATTTAACTTTAAAAAGTGCAATTTTTTAATAGAAATAATTAACTAGTTTAATTCTTGACATAAATTTATAATAATTCTTTAACCCTAATAACCGTATAATTTACAATGCTCTGTACAGTCGCTCGCTCAAAGAGAATATACGGATATAAAGACAATATTATGGTTGGGTTAAAATAAGATGAGACTTTTTTCGATATCCGATACAGTGAGCACACAAAAGTGGAGGGAAACGAGAAAAAAGAGAAATTTTCCCAGAAAAAATATTTAAATAGTGTTTATGCAAATCGCAAATTTATGTATATAATGTATCCGCAATTTGCATTTTATTGGTAACCGATCTCTTTCTCAAAAAGAAGAAGAAAAAGAAGTGTACGGTAATTGTTTCTTTTTTTTCCCTTTTTTTTTTGTCAAAGGATTTTTTAACCGCCACTACCTACTCCGACGCGACTACCAGTTCCGGGTTACCGACTACTCTTCTTGGTTTATCTTCCACTAGAAATGACTTTGGTATATAACGCACTGTACTTGGCAAAGAACGTTTTTTTTTTGTTTTTTGGGGTTGGACAAAAAATTAAAGCCGGTCTCCGTATAAAATATACCGTTGGCTTTAAGACGACTCGACAAAAGGTCATAGTGAATTTGTATATTTT